ACGAGTCAGCCTGGTTTTCTTGGCTGCAGTACTGATGTACGAGGCGAAGGTGCCACCCTGAATGCCACCTAAGCAAAAAAAATGTCCACATTGAATTATGGCTATTGAACAACCGGGTTTTTAACGGAATGATTTAAGTCTCTTAATCAGTGAGTGCATTTAACATTGTGTTGTGTTGACTAATAATGTATATAATTTGGTTTTAATCTTTCTAATAGGTATTAGTAGCCTATGTTATTTTAAATGTGTCGGATTTTTAGCTATTTAGTTGTTTCTTTACTTTGTCTCTAATATCATTCAACGTGTAGTAAAGCACATAGCGTTTTGTATTTTATAAATTATTTTTCCCAAATAGGTATAACAGTAAAAATATATATGTCTATAATTCACGTGAAACGGGTACCCATGGCTATTTTCAGTAGCGTAGAGCGGGGGGGGGGGGGGGGGCAGGGGGTACATATGTCCCCGGGCGCCGACCTTAGGGGGCGCAAAAATGGGTAGGAAAAATTAATTGAAAGGTTGAGGGGGGTGCAAATTGAAAGTTTGAGGGGGGGGGGGGGGGGTGCAAATCGAAATCTTGAGGGGGGGGGGGGGGAAGGAAATCGAAGACTTGAGGGGAGGGGTGCAAATCGAAAATGTGCTCCCGGACGCCGGGAAGGGTCGCTACGCCTCTGGCTATTTTATTTATAATTACAAACGAAATTCCTCCCACTTCTAGCAAAACGGTTTTTTTTTTCAAATTTTAGACGTAGTAATGGATCCGCTGACATAAAATCTGACGTATTTAATCAAGCAAGAGTTTTTTTTTCAAAAGACAATTAGCGCTCGCATTATAAGACGCGAATCTTTTCGCCATATTGCACAAAATTCGGTATGAAACGAGGCGAAAGTGAAATTAGTTTGTCATTTGATTGCATTAAATTTTAATCAAATATGGAATCTTAAAAAAATTTAAAAAAAGAATAGTTTATAATAAACATAATTCATAAATACTTTTTTAATGTATGCAATTCAAAGAAGAAATTTTTAAAAAATCTATTTATATAACTTTAAAATAACGTGGGTCGCTTAATTATGTATTATATAACCTTACTGAAATTATATGATAAACCTGCGCTTTTCTAAATAGTTATTTTGACGTGCATTACTATACATATTTTTATAAACATTTTCTTTTGCTTTTATATTGCATATTGTATTTAAGAGTGTTATAAAAACGATTTTATTAATTGAAAAAAAAAGTCTTACGTGAAGTAAATCCAAGAGATTTTAATAAATATGGTCCAACTAGGTCAAATAGAATTGATGACAATAAACCGAACATCAAGGCAAAATAATTAAAATAGGCCACGAACAGTGCAAAAATGAACATGTACACCAGTTTTACCCATTCGTTCATTTTAGACGCGTGTGTTCTGCCTGTAAATATATTTGTATTCAATTATATACTGAGAAGCAAAAAGTAAAATTAAATACTTCCACGCACACAACAAAATCAACCTATATCAAATCACTGTCATATTAGTATTAAGCTATTAAATGAAATTTTATGACAAAGTTACCTTGTTCTGAAATGTTTTAACGAGCTTTAGGTTTGGCTTAAATTAAGTTATTAAATACAACATTTTACGAGCCTTAGAGAATGGATTAATCCCTGCATCTTTTATCTGTATAAAAAGATCATTATTGTAACTGTTTCCTTGATATTTAAAATACTAAAGGGATTCTTTAAACGTTTTTTAAGAGGATTTTGGTGGGGATTTAGATTATTCTTATCATTTCATACCTGAAAATACTTCAAACAAAATTGGTACTTCTTATGTATGTGATGACGTTGATTATTATGATAGACAAAGTGATGGCACAGTCTAATTATAGAAACCTGGTTCACCAACAACTGGGTATTGCTGTAAAAACAATGGGGAGCGGTGGGGGGGGGGGGGGAGGGGAGGGGTGATCTGGTAAGGGGGAGAGGGGTTGAGGCCGTTGTTTTAGGGATGGGGGTGGCGGTGCAGGGATATGTAAGGGTTGGGGGTAGCTGGTTTGTCAAAGGCGGATATTATATGCTTTTGTTGTTTAAGGGGTCGAAAGAGTTAAGGCGAACCGTTAGGGTTTGGGGAGGAGGGGTGGCGGATATTAGACACACCGTATAGATCTAAGTGAAACACTGTTAGTATGGTGTTTTTATAAAATACTTGTGTTTTATCTTTATAAAATGAAAGTTTTTTTTACGAGCTTACCTTACCAAAAATACATGTGAAGTTTAAATATTATCCTCTACATTAAGAGAGCAACGACAAATATCTCTCGTGTTAATATGTATGTGGGAAGCTAAATTAAAATAATTGAAGGTCTATTTGGCAGTAAATATCCAAGATTTAGACGCGACCTCATTACAATACATACATTCCAAGCCTGTAGATTGTTCAGCAGTGGTGCGAATATGTTCGTGAATAAATGTTTCAGGTTTTTTTCTTAACTTGCTTCCTCTCTCTGCTTTTCTGTCTATCGTTTTAGATCGAAACTGTCGAGCAAAATTTTGAACACTGCTAACTGACCGTGTCGTTTCCAACTTTGCACGTGGGCCAAGAACTGATGCCAATGCCTTTAGAAATCAGATTTGACTCATTTTTTTTTTAATTCATCAAAATTTTGTAAATAAATTAGGCGAAACCATCATTATTAGCGCATTTTCATGTTAATTTGGCGCGCAACGTTTTTCAGTCATGAAACTCTACTGTAATTACTATTTTTAAAGTAATGTACATAAACCGGGAGTGATCTCCCCTAAAATTTCTCGAATATTCTTATATGAAACACCAAGTGAAAGCAAAACAAAATGTGCATAATAGTGCGGAATATTATTAGTACTTTATAAAATTTACATGCGTTTTTTGAGGAATCGGAAATAGCGAAAATTACTACTTTCGGTCATCGGAAATAAGGTTTTGAAAAATTCAAAGTAGAAAAAGTTCCACTTTTGGTTATCGGAAATCGCTCAAAAGTTGACACAGATCTAAAAATGTGATACAATATTTATATTCAAGCTATCGTGTTTACAGACACACAAAGACACGCACACACACACACACACAAACACACAAACACACATAATCTGGCGGGCAACTTTTTTTAGTCATGAAACTCTACTGTAATCACTATTTTTAAAGTAATGTACATAAACTGGGAGTGTTCTCCCCTAAAGGTTCTCGAATATTCTTATATGAAACAACAGGGGATGGCAACTCGGGATATAGACATGATTTTAATACTTAATCTTTTTAAAATAGAATAAAATCTCGTAGAAAAAAGAATTGCTCACCAAGTGAAAGCCAAATAAAATGTGCACAATAGTGGGGAATATTATTAGTACTCAAGGTATCGTGTTTACACACACACACACATCCATACACATACACACATACAGACATACGGACAAGATTGCAAAATTATGTTTTTCTGACTCAGTGAGGAGTAAAACGTCGAGATTTGCAAAATTTGCAAATCTCGATTTTTTGGACAAGATTGCAAAATTATGTTTTTCCGACATTCTCAATACTTCGTATACACGAGAAAGTAAAAAGGTGTTTGGGTCGTCAGGTTTGTAATGTAAAAATTGTGTTTTTATTGCATCATCAACACAATTGTAACGTTAACGTTTATTTGCTGGCTGTTGTCTAGCGTATATTTGACTACTTAAATTTGTAGATGCCTTTGTGCGATGTAACCAAAGACGCCATAACTGGGTATTTACCAGTAATACTACTATGTTTGCATCAGAGGCGTAGTGACCCTTCCCGACGCCCGGGGACAAACTTTCAATTTGGCGCCCCCCTCGGGAGCAAATTTTCAATTTTGCACCACCCCCCCTCATCTTTTCGATTTGCACCCCCTCAACTTTTCGATTTGCATCCCCCCCCCCTCAAACTGAAAAAGTGCAGCTAAATTGACATTTTAATTTGGTTTTACAACCCATTTTGGCGCCCCCTAAGGTCGGCGCCCGGGGACATATGTCCCCCCCCTCCCCCCCCCCCCCCCCCCCCCCCCCCCCATTGCTACGCCTCTGGTTTGCATGAACACATTGATTAACTTTGCTCCGTCATGACAATTAGTGTTTAAATAAAGAACTGTCATGTGATCACAAGAGTGTATCCAAAATAACATTGACTTTAGATGCAAGGTGCATTGTCTTCGGCGGGCGAACATCTTGTATCGTAGCTTAGATTTAATCTACGAATATCATTTTGCTTATTGCAATTTTAACGTTTAAAGTAATGTGACAAACCTTTTCTTACTTCTTCTTCTTCGTTCTTAATTTTAGTGTTGGGAGATATCCCCTACAACACAGTTAAGTATTCGTGTCAACTGGTTATGTACCATTGAGGCCATTGACTCCGATTTCAGCCTGCTTTTCTTTTTGGATTTTCTTCCATAGACTTTGTCCAACCAAGAACAAACTACAAGGCAGCAGTTGTTTCATTTAGGAATTGTCTCTCCTAGAAGAGTGGCTGTCCTCGGCTAACGAGCCTCATCTGAACGAAGGTTCGAACTCGAGATTTTTCGGTTCAGCAACCATGAGCTACCGATTCGACCACTCAGACCGTTTTCTTACAATTTTTATGTTTAAAAATAAAAAGAAAAACACAATGACTATTCATTTTTGGAATAAATTGTTACAAAATGTATCATAAACACAATAAATATTTCGCTATGGTTAAATTATGTCTAAACATAAAGTGAGGTGTAAACCAGATACGTAATATGGTAATAATGTGCTCTTATATGGAAAGGATGCGTTCTGTGTTAACGTATTAACAAATTAATTAAAATCAAACTAACCAATAATTTAAACAAATATATAACATAAAAATAAATTTTAAAAAAATGAACATTAGTTATAATAGTATCACAAAAAATAATTAAGTGATCATAAACATATGATCTAGATCGTGTTAAAAATATACTTTTATTTTTTCTTAAGTGTTTATAAAATTGCACATCATAATATCATGGGATATATGGTCCACCCTATTATTTAACATAATCGTATATTAATGCTAAATTCATAATATACTTGCACTTATGCTGTTGGTGGATAGCTTTCGTGTTTAAGTACATTCATTTTGTTTTAAAACACAAATAATTATCACATTATCACAACAAAAGTAGGCTACTTACAGTGAACATATTAATATGATAGTGATATATTTTGTTTTTACATTAAAATAAATTATTAATAAAGCTGCCCATAATAATATGATGGGATGTATGGTATTATTACCCATTACAAGTTGTCCTCTTAAATATTCTAAATCTATTAATAAATAATAAATTATAAACTTGAATTGATTTTGTTGATGAGTAACTTTCCACTTTTGATAAATCCCTTTTTTTAAACACATCTGTTATTTTTAGATCAAAACGTCATTGTTTCTAAAAATAGTAACATTTAAGTCAGACACAAGACTTATATCCCCTGATAATAGAAACGCAAGAATAGTTTCCTTAATAAAACCTAGTGTTTAGCTAACTATTCGAACTCGATGGCTTGGCGGTGTTTAATTGAGGTGTTTGACAAGGTGACCAGATACATGCGCAACGGAAAAAGCGCAACGGAAAATGCGCACACAGACAAAAAGCGCAAACAAAAATTTGCACACTGAAAAATGCGCAAAGAGAAACATGCGCAAGCATAAAAACGCTCAAACAGAAATCTACACACATATCGCTCAACAATGAGAATTATGGCAATGTGCGTGCATTATGTGCTTGTATGTGTCACTTTGCACTTGCCTGTGTGCATACATAGACAGAAATATTTTATGTCAACGTCTGTTTATTTTTGCGCATCTTTCTGTTAACCGTTTAACAACTTTGTATGGTGTGTGTGTAAGATGGTGGTGCTTAACGTTGAATTCTTGTCAATACTACTTATGATGGTATTCGATGTTGGTGTTTGATGGCGGTGTGTGATGATGAGGTTGAGCAGTGGTTGCCGATGGTGATGCTAAACGGTTTTGTACACACACAACAAAAACTGTGTCACAATGCACAAGGAGCTGCCGACGAAGCCACCGAGAGCAGTCAGTTTAACATGACCGGGAGAAATGCCGATCGACTGAAGTGTCCCAAAGATCTTACGGCTAAGTCGGGTCTTCTTGGCCGCAGTACTGAAGTATGAAGCCACTGTTCCTTTTCCTACTCCACCTAAACAAGGTTAGTAAGATAAGTATTAGTACGCTTCCCATAGGCTGTTTTCATATATAGATTTTTGTTATTGAAAGATCTCTGCTCAAAATTAGAGCACACACACAAACACACACCTATATATATATATATATATATATATATATATATATATATATATATATATATATATATATATATATATATATATATATATATATATATATATGTATATATGTATATATATATACATATATCTGTATATATATATATATATATATATATATATATATATATATATATATATATATATATATATATATATATATATATATATATATATATATATATATATATATATATATATATATATATATATATATATATATATATTCTATCACTTGATTTAGTTTATAAGTGTGTGCACTAGTGCACTATTTATAGAAATTATTTAGAATGCAACATAAATGTTAAAAACACTTTGGAAAAGCAATTAGTTTTAAATGTTTACACCCAATTAATAACACCTTACAGACTTTAGACCTCGATACGACATAGGTCTATAAACTAGAATGATTCTAAAACGACATTTAATGGCCTGTATGTAGGCCTACATTTGTAATTCAGACTTAAAAGTGTAATTTCTTAATTCTTTTAGGCAAGAACATCAAAACACAAATAAATTATTAACTGTTCGTCTGGTGCGCATTTCTTTTTTTGTGAGATCTTATTCTATTTAAAAAAAAAGTATCTAAAAAATTAAAAATTGCTCTTTAAAACTGTCTGAACCCCAACTGCACAGGAGCTGCCATTCCCATTAATATTATTTAAGATCAATCGATAAAGCTTAGGAAAGATCTCTCACACACACACACACACACACACACACACATATATATATATATATATATATATATATATATATATATATATATATATATATATATATATATATATATATATATATATATATCAACGAAATTAAATTTATTTAATTTATATAGAAAATACATACTTTTAACAGTGTCCCCCCCCCCCAAAGAAAGTTTACCGCCCCCCCCCCCCAAAATAAAATTTCAAGCGCCCCCCCCCCCCGCCCCCGGAGAAAAAAGTCTGGAAGAAACTCTGTATATATATATATATTTATTAATTTATTTATATATATATATATATATATATATATATATATATATATATATATATATATATATATATATATATATATACATGCAATGCTTTTTAATGTATTTATATTACTATAAAAAAAAGCGTGGGCTGCTAAATTATACCTTGTTTAAACTTTCAAAGTGCATTATTTTTTAAAATATTAAAGAATTTGAAAAGAATTTTAGTAATTAAAAAATGTCTTACGTCTAGTAAATCCTATAGTTTGCAATAAATATGGTCCTATATAGGGAAATATGAATCCTCCCAACCAAGCGGCCATAGTTGCATAATAGTTCAAATAACACAGGAAGAGGTAAAAAATCGCGTAGATCAGAAAAGCTGCTTTTGCTTTCATTGTTAGTTCTGCCTGTTAAATATGTATGTTTGAAATTATGCACTGCGTTTCAGATTGGTCAATTACATCCATCCATCCATCCATCCATCCATCCATCCATCCATCCATCCATCCATCCATCCATCCATCCATCCATCCATCCATCCATCCATCCATCCATCCATCCATCCATCCATCCATCCATCCATCCATCCATCCATCCATCCATCCATCCATCCATCCATCCATCCATCCATCCATCCATCCATCCATCCATCCATCCATCCATCCATCCATCCATCCATCCATCCATCCATCCATCCATCCATCCATCCATCCATCCATCCATCCATCCATCCATCCATCCATCCATCCATCCATCCATCCATCCATCCATCCATCCATCCATCCATCCATCCATCCATCCATCCATCCATCCATCCATCCATCCATCCATCCATCCATCCATCCAGCCAGCCAGCCAGCCAGCCAGCCAGCCAGCCAGCCATCCATCCATCCATCCATCCATCCATCCATCCATCCATCCATCCATCCATCCATCCATCCATCCATCCATCCATCCATCCATCCATCCATCCATCCATCCATCCATCCATCCATCCATCCATCCATCCATCCATCCATCCATCCATCCATCCATCCATCCATCCATCCATCCATCCATCCATCCATCCATCCATCCATCCATCCATCCATCCATCCATCCATCCATCCATCCATCCATCCATCCATCCATTCAACCATCCATCCATCTATCCATCCATCCATCCATCCATTCATCCATTACATTATTTTTAATGAGCTTACCTTTGAAATGTCACTTGTAAGGTTAAAATATTATTCTTCACATTGTACTTGTAATTTGTAAAAAATCTCTCTTATGTTAATATGTATGTGAAAGGCTAAATAACAATTTGTTATGGTCTTTATCGTAAGATTTTGACGCGACTTTACTACAACACATAGGCCTACAAGTATGTAGAATGTTCAGTACCGGTGCGAATACGTTTATAAAGACGTCTTAAAACCGTGTTACATTTTTTAGCGCAATTTCCATTCTGGAGAATTGCGATTATTAACTCGTCATTTCTGGGAATGGATGTGTGTCCGCAGCTTTAAGTCGTCTTTAAGTCGTATCTCCTCCTCAACGAAGCAATATCGAGGACTAGTTCCAAAGCAAATATGTTAAGCAAGTTCTGAGGATGAACATAGGCCAAAAAAAATTCCCGGAATTCCTTCCTGGATTTCCCGGAAAAGCCAAAAAACATCGAAAAAAATGCAGTTTTTGGCCCATATCTCGGCAACCAGACCACTTAGCGACTTGAAACATTTACCAATCGATTCCTGCCATAATTTAGAACAATATTGCCGAAGAAAGTTTTCAAAAATATCCTTTCGTTCGGCCACAAAAAATTAATTAAGAATTTTTAAATTGAGCATCGTGTAGGCCTAGGATGATATTTTTAATTTAAACTGAGCATCGTGTAGGTTTTTAGCGCAAAGCGCTGAGGTTCGAAAGGATTTTACCATAGCGAATGAGCGGAGGTTCGAAAGGATTTTTTCTATTTTGTTTTGAATTATTGAAACTACTTGTGTTGCATTATTTATTTGCTGAATATATGATTTATCTCGATTTAAAATTGTTATGGATAACATAAGGAAATTGCGCTTAAGTTGTCGCTAGACTTTTTAATAACTTGTTTAATTTCTCGTATATACGAAGTATAAAGAAAGTCTTGTAATCGTGTAAAAAAATCGAGATTTTTACAAATCTCGACGTTTTACACCTTACTGATACGGAAAAAACAATTTTGCAATCTTGTCCGTATGTCTGTGTGTGTGTGTGTCTGTGTCTGTGTGTCTGTGTGTGTGCAAACACGATAACTTGAGTACCGTTACAGCTAGGTTGATGAAATTTCATATTTAAGTATTTTATCAAAATCGTAGATCCGTATCGACTTTTGAGCGATTTCCAATAACCGGAAGTGGTACTTTTTTCTACTTTGAATTTTTCAGATGTTTCAGATAGATAAATGAAATTTCACTTGTAAGTAAAGGATCTAATTCTCTGCCTTCTGTCAAATTTGGAGTAATTTCTGTTGATTGAAAGTACTAATTTACGCTATTTCCGATTTCTCAAAAATCGAATGTTAATTTATAAAGTACTAATAATATTGCGCACTATTATGCACATCTTTATTTGGCGTTCACTTGTTGCGCAATTCTTTTTTCTACGAGATTCTATTCTATTTTTAAAAGTAAATAAAAATCATTTCTATATTCCGAGTTGCCATCCCACGTAGTGTTATATAAGAATAGTCGAGAAAGTTTAGGGGAGATTACACGGAAAACATTGGAAAACCCAGTTTTTCTTACTTTGATAAATCTCGATTTAGAATTTTTGCCCGATTATAATAAGTACCCTATACTCCGTGTGTAATGAAGTACTAAGGTGTAAAACGGTGAAAACTGTCAAAATTTTACTGTGATTTTTGTGCACGATTCCAGTATTTCCCTATAGATCTACTCTGTATACGAGAAAGTAAAAATCTAACAACACAATGGCAATGACGTCATTGAAAAATGAAAACAAAATCGAATGACAGGAAGTTATGCCACTGAGATATTTTTAATAACAAAAGTAGGAGTTTTGTTATTTCCTTAAACGTTGGTAGAACTATCTCAAGTCTAACGAAATTACCCAGGTATTTTGTTTTATATAATATATACATCTATATTATTATATTAATATTGGTGTATAATTATGTAGCTGTAGTACACTAAAACAAATTTAGGATTGAAAGCAACATTTTAGAATATTGCCTTTCACATGTTTATAAGTAGTTTAACACACACTAGATCTAGATTAAATAATAATTAGATGTCGATCTAGATCTCTATAGATTTTTGTTTCTCATAGATGGAAGAATGAACGGATGGACGGATAGAAAGATGGGTGGGGGGATGGATAGATGAGCGAATAAAAGGCAGGGTAGGTTGGTGGGTGGGTGGTTGGATATACGGATAGATGGATGAATAGATAGATAGAATGGGTGGGTGGGTGGGTGAATATACAGATAGATGGATGAATAGATAGATAGAATGGGTGGGTGGGTGGTTGGATATACGGATAGATGGATGAATAGATAGATAGAATGGGTGTGTGTGTGGTTGGATATATGGATAGATGGATGAATAGATAGAATGGGTGGGTGGGTGGGTGATTGGATAGACGGATAGATGAATGGATAGATAGATAGATGAATGGGTGAATGGGTGGTTTGATGGATGGAAAGATGAATATATGAATGGTTGGGTTGGCGAGGAAGGGGGTAGATGAGTTGGTGGGTCAATGCATGGGTGTGTGGATAGATGTCTGTGTGTGGATATATGGGTATGTGGATAAATGAGTGGATAGATGTATAGATGGATGGATTGTATCTGTCAACGGATGCGCTTTATATATGCCTACTTGTTGAGTGTGTGTAAAATTGATGTACATTTTACTTCCTAAATTTAAAACCTAAACTGTAACCTTCACCTTCTGATGTGCGCAGCGAGATCAAATGAGACTTGGGACGAGACTTTTCTTCCTTGAAGTGTTTATACTCTACGCAGCGCTGCTCAACTACATTGCTGCTGTCACTGATAGTCTCATAGCTGTGGTGTGTCTGCTGGTCACACCAACTTTAATACGAACGTTGGGTTTTACTGCAGGTAATAGTTCAAAAATGTATCTTATTGAAAAAAATATAGCACTGTTTTAAAAACATAACAAGAGATTTTTTTAACATTTCAACTTAAACTTGAACCCTTACTCTCCCTCTTTTTCCCTCTCCCTCTCTCTCTCTCTACCCTCTCTCCCTCCCTCGCTCTTTCCCTCTCTCTCCCTTTCTCCCTCCCTCTCTTGCTCTCTCCCTCTCTCTTTCCCTCTCTCTCTCTCCATCTCCCTCTTTATTTCTCCCTCTCTCTCTCTCCATATCTCTCCTTATCTTTCTCTATTCCTCTCTCTCTCCCTCTCTCTCTCTCTCCCTCTCTCTCCCCCGCTCCCTCTTAATCTCTCCCCATATTTCTCTCTTTCCCTTCCTCCCTCGCTTTTTCCCTCTCTCTCTCCTTTTATCTCTCTCTCTCTCTTTCTCTCTCGCTCTCGCCCTCTCCCTCTCCCTCCCTCTCTTTCTCTCTCTCCCTTTCTTCCCCCCTCTTTCGCGCTCTCTCTCTCTCTCCCTCTCTCTCTTTTCTTCTCCCTCTCCCTCTCCCTCTCTCACCCCATCTCCCTCTTTATTTCTCCCTCTCTCTCTCTATATATATCTCTCCCTATATTTCTCTCTAACGTTCCCCCTCTCTGCCTCCCCCTCTCTCTCTCTCTCCACCTCTACACTGTTCCAACTTTCAATACAACACTAAATACGCCAAACCTGCGAATAGAAACTTCATTGCGATTTCCGGGGCGAAAACAAACTTAATTCCCTGATCGGACCTGATAATACATAGGACAGATGAAGTAGAGTTCATCTGTTTCTTAAACCATGGCAAATGAGGGGATTGTGTGTAGGTTCCTACAAAATAATTTTTTTATATAATTAAATATAATATAATAATACCACTCCCCTTTGAAACCAAAAAAAAGAAATATATTTATATCGGCATATATAATTATATATATCTTTTATGTATGTATATATATATATATATATATATATATATATATATATATATATATATATATATATATATATATATATATATATATATATATATATATATATATATATATATATATATATATATATATATATATATATATATATATATATATATATATATATACGTTAAAATGTCTATTTCAGTTGGAATCCCCAGTGGGACAGTGGCGTCCTACCTGTGCTCAAAAGCTAACAAGTACAAGTTTGGCATACAGTTCGTGGGAGTACTGCAGTCTGTTGGTGCCAAGGGCGTCAGCCTTCCAACCCTGTTGGTCCTTGCGATTGTCGGCGTTTTATTGTTCAACATAACAAACAATGTGTTGCATCGTCATCGAGCTTATTGGTAGTTGATCCTGCTCATTGGTGTGCTGTTAGAGACTGCTGGTAGAAAACACGCATTTGGCACCACAATGATTTATCTTCACAAAACATCGTATACCACCGTGACATAACATCATATAACACCACCGCTATACACCACATTTACAAGCAAATGTTGCTTATCACCATCACAAACATCGACAACATCCAACACCATCAAACGCCATGATCAGATACCACTATTTAGAAACACCATTCGACACCATCTCTCCTACATCATTCACTCATACTGCCATCACACACACACACCACACTACACATCACAATCATAAGCTATCATTACACACACCCATCAGAAAACATACCATCCAACACCATAATCACAACACATCATCATGTACCATCACACATCATAAAACACCCCCATCACAAACCACCATTAAATAGCCACTATATTATGGTTACACCATTAAATCCCACTTTTGAACTACCACTGAATATACCACCAACAACTTTGTTTAGTTTTGTCCAAGATTTTCCCCTAATAAAGCTTTTTATTCTCTCTACTGCCCTTTAATATTGTTTTTTATTTAAAAAAAAATAACTTGGCCAATGTAGACGCTATTCACATATCTACAAACGATAAGACAAAGTAGACTTTTTAAAAATAAATTAAAATGATTGAAAAGAGGAATATACAGTTAATACCATCAGTTAATAATTTACATTACTAACTGCTTCGTCAAATAAATGTTTTTAGTCTTTTAAAAGTTCCAAGCACACGATTCCTTATTTTTCTATCATCAGTAATAATTCTATCTTTTCACCTATACTATCGTCTACGGATGCAATTATAATTCATCTTTGCACCTATACTATCTTCTATGGAGGGAATTATAATTCTATCTTTTAATCTATACTATCATCAATGGATGCAATTATAATTCATCTTTTTCAATTTTTAACCTATACTATTATCAATGGATGCAATTATAATTATATCTTTTAGCCTTTACTATTATCAATGGATGCAATTATAGTTATGTCTTTTAGACTATAATATTATCTACGGATGCAATTATAATTCATCTTTTAACCTATATTATTATTTATGAATGCAGTGAAAATACTGAGAGGAACTTTTGAGCTATTTTTATGCAACTAAAGATGTATAAATAAAATAGATATGTTGTTTTCAGCTTGATTCTTACTTCAATAGTTTTAGATACATGTTATTTTTTTTTCCTTACTTTGCTGTTTATATATTCCTTTCTTCTATTTAATTCTTTAATGTTGCTTTTTTTTTAATAGTTACATAATTTTGTTGTTTTTTAATGTGAAATGTAGGCAATACACATAGTTAATTTAAATTATTACAAGTTTACTTTTTACTTGTCTAGTTTACACTTGACTTAGTTAATGCATGACGTGTCGCGTTTATACTTGACTTATTCCATTATGCTTGAATTGTACCTTCTAAATTTGACTTAGTTAATATATGACTTAGTTAATACACAGTTTTGAGTTCGAGCCCTCGGGCAGATGAGGCTCGTTAGCTGGAGACAGCAACTCTTCTAGGAGAGACAACCCCAAAATCAAACAACTGCTGCCTTGTAGTTTGTTCTTGGTTGGACGAAGGCTATGGAAGGAAATCCAAAAAAGAAAAGCAGGCTAAAATCTGAGTCAATGGCCTCAATGGCGCATAACCAGTTGACACATATACTTAAACGAATCCGGGGATTCGAACTCGGAACGTATCGGTTTAGCAAAGATTAGCCTAACCGACCCAACCAAGCCGACCTTAAACATGTTACAGTTTTTTTTGTAAACTCAATTACACAACATATTCAGAAAACCGCCGCATAAATAGGTAACCTATCCCATAGCAAGTTCATGTCGAAACCCCTCCTTAGATTTTGAAGTAGTTGTGTGTAGTTGTTGACGAGGGAGCCAAGACTCAACAGTCACTCAACATAGTACAGAATGTACGCCATATATATATATATATATATATATATATATATATATATATATATATATATATATATATATATATATATATATATGTGTGTGTGTGTGTGTGTGTATATATATATATATATATATATATATATATATATATATAAATATATATATATATATATATATATATATATGTATATATATATATATATACATATATATATATATATATATATACATATATACACAGATTGCAATAGCATTCCGCTGATATAGTAAGTTCATAAATACGTACAACATTATGGACAAACAGTTAGACAGACCATCAGTATACTGATATTGGTTAACCGTATCTCTACCATAATTATTTACCCTCTCACAACAATCCGTTCACACTTGTTCTCACCCTTCAAATTCGCTCCCTGCACCCCTCTGTATCAAAACTCCTTACAACTTAACACTACCACACTCTCTCCTAACCCCCAACCCCATCGAGAACCCCTTTCTCAAACCGCCTAACTACTTAACTCTAATACACTCTCTCCTAACGCCTCCTCCCCCCACACACGACAACCCCTGTTTGAAACCGCCTAACCACTTAACCACTATCCTTAACTCGCTTCCTGAAGACCCGTCTAATATATATTTTTACCATGATAGCAATTCTTAGAAAACTTGTGTTCAAAACAGCACTAAAACTGCACTAACAATTTATATCAAATCGTAGTTAACGTAAACATATACTTTGCAATCAACATTTATTTTTAATTATAATTGTAAGTAAGTAATGTGTGAAAGTATCGTAAAATTACATTGATAAATAAACCGGGAGTGATCTCCCCCAAACTTTCTCGAATATTCTAATATAAAACTACGAGTGATGGCAACTCAAGACATAGACAATATTTGTAATCCATTTTTAATTACTTAAACTTTTTATAATAGAATGGAATCTCATAAAAAAGCACTGCACACGAAGTAACACCTAATGAAATGTGCATAATAGTGCGCAATATTATGAGTACTTTATAAATTTACATGCGTTTTTTGAGAAATCGGAAATAGCGTAAATTAGTACTTCCGGTCAACGGAAATTACTCAAAATTTAACAGAAGGTAGAGAATTAGATATTTTAATTACATGTGAAATTTCATTTATCTATTTGAAATAGTACTCAAATAATAGGCTTTTTAAAAATTCAAAGTAGAAAAAGTACCACTACCGGTTATCGAAAATCGCTCAAAAGTTGATCAGGATCTACGATTTTGATAAAATACTTATATATGAAATTTCATCAACCTAGCTGTAACGGCTCTTAAGTTGTCGTGTTTACACACAGACAGACAGACACACAGACATACGGACAAGATTGCAAAATTATGTTTTTCCGTATCAGTGAGGTGTAAAACGTCGAGATTTTTAAAAATCTCGATTTTTTTTATTGCACGTTTACAAGACTTTCTCTATACTTCGTATATACGAGAAAGTAAAAATAGATACACAAGAATACTGATAGTAAAGTCATATTAGAATAATGACAATCAAAGTACAATTCAGAAAAACTGAGTAACGTTTTGACAGCTTACATTCTATACAGACACAGGCACACTTTGTCCCCCCTACTCTCCCATTTTATATCCTTCATTCTCTCCCTAACGTCAGTGATCGATCTCACAAAAAGCATGGAAAAACAAAACTAGTCGGTCACACAGTCCTACCATTGGCCAGGTATTCTACTTTCATGCAAGTTTATACTAATTACAATATCATAAATCATACAAGAGGTAAAGTCTGTTACATAATCCACATAAATCTTTTACTTTTTGGTTGTAGTTTGTGAAAATTTAAGGTGTAATGAACTTCGTCACAACTAGATGAAGTATTAATTACTTCCTCGTATACGTAGAACAGAGGAAATATTGTAATCATGCAAAAAAATGGAAATTATTTTTTTTTCTACGAAATTCAATTCTATTTTTAAAAATAATTAAAAATTGATTAAAAATCATATCTATTTCCCGAGTTGCTATCCACCATAGTGGTATGTAAGAATTTTCGAGAAAGTTTAGACAAGATCACTTCTGTTTTATTTTTTATAAATCGTTTTGTAAAAACACATTATTTTCGCGCGACAACTACTTCATTGTTTTTAGTCAAGAGTTCATGTAAGTTAAGGTACATAAATACATTTTACTTTTGTTAATGTATATCAAACATATTGCTATCACATATTTGTTTAGTATTTAAATTAAATTAAAAAAAGCGAGTTTTAAAAAACAATATAGGTATGGTCGTTTGAGAATACTTATGGGTGACTTCTGCTTCAAAACTGCACTGGTAAACGCATTGTTTTATAACAATTAATTCCCACTGTCATGATCGACATTTGTATATATTATTTCTTGCTATGAAGTATTAAACAAAACTCTTAACGACTCCTAAACCGACAGTCTCGATTTTGGATTCCAGGTTGGAGTTTGTATGACGTTTCTGAGACCATCCATCTCTGATGGGTACCTAACTCACGTTAGAGGAAACTAAGGCGGGTGGGCAACAATGGATATAAGTTTCCTTGAGCTGTATTATTTTTAATCTTTCTATTTAAATTGTACCATCAACGCATATTTTTAAGCAATAATTTAATACATTCCATTTATTATTCAGAATTGGTGTGTGTGGCAGAAGTGATCTCAGAGCTTACAAATGACGTCACCTTCTGTGACTGTCCAAGCCCGTGTAGGTAAGCTAACACGTCTGTCTTAACATTTAATTTGTTGAAATTCTGGATAAAGCACACTTAACTACAATGCACTTGTTACGTTTCAGGATAAACCACACTTAACTACAATGCACTTGTTACGTTTCAGGATAAACCACACTTAACTACAAAATACTTGTTAAGTTTCAGGATAAATCACACTTAACTACAATGCACTTGTTACGTTTCAGGATAAACCACACTTAACTACAAAATACTTGTTAAGTTTCAGGATAAATCACACTTAATTGCATTGCACTTTACGTTTTTAGGATATGTCATTTAAGTAATAACATTTCGTTTTCATTTAAAGTGAAAAGGTCTACAAGAAAAGCTTGTCATCCAGGTTTTGGCCGAATATGGACACCATAGTAAGTTTACACCTTTCGTATTTGATTATTACCCCCTGAGGACAGTTGGAGGGACTAGCCCAGGACAGAGACGCCTGGAAAGCTCTCGTCAGCGCCCTATATCCCAGGAGGGGCGACAGGCAAACCTAACTTAACCTATTGTCCCATTGGCACAATGTAGCCACCGCAGTGAGATTACAAGTTACATATTTCGTTATTGTTAATTTTAAAAGTGAATGTTAAGATTTTAAATACAATTTCTAGTAACACACAATAATTATTCATTTCAATATTTCAAAATGAATGTTACATTTTTAAGACAATAAATGATTCCGTAGAATTAATTTCAAGCATGACCAGACAATGTTAGATTGCGATTTATTATTCCAGGAATTCTTGGTTGACTCGCTGTGTACTAGGAATAATTATTCCGGTTGTTCATCGCTAAAGAGGTTCAACGATTCACTAAACCAGTACGCAACAAAAGTATTTTTGTACACTCTAATCTCACTTTGATGTTAACATAATGTATCTTAAATCACTGATTTAAATTGTTTTTAAATCGTCGAATTTAAAAATGGTATTATTTTATTTTGTTACATAGACATAAAGACGTTTGCCTTTAGTTACGTTTGATCAATTATACAAAGCGAACATTTTAAAAACATTGGTGTAACTAAAAAAAAACGCGAGAGTCAGTAATTCTGACTACTTGAGTTCTAGATATGTTCATGGGTGGACTGGACCGAAGGGCTACTGGGAAAAATCCCAGACGGCCCCCATAAAAAAACTATGTGGGCCCCTTTGTGTTGTTGGGCTGACATATATATTAGTGTGTTTTTATTAATTAATTAATTGTATTTTACCAAAAAAATAAATACAACAAATTCAATCTGGTTTGAGTGGGGTTCCTGGGTTGAGTGGGGTTCCTGGGTTGGGTGGGGTCCCTGAGTTGGATGGGGTCCTTGGGTTGGTTGAGGTCCCTGTGTTGGATGGAGTCCCTGGGTTGTGTAGGGTCCCTGGGTTGGGTGGGATCCCTGGGTTGGGTGGGGTCCCTGATTGAGTAGTGTCCCAGGGTTGGGTGGGGTCCCTGGGTTGGGTGGGATCCCTGGGTTGGGTGGGGTCCCTGATTGAGTAGTGTCCCAGGGTTGGGTGGGGTCCCTGGGTTGGGTGGGGTCCCTGGGTTGGGTGGGGTCCCTGGGTTGGGTGGGGTCCCTGGGTTGGGTGGGGTCCCTGGGTTGGGTGGGGTCCCTGGGTTGGGTGGGGTCCCTGGGTTGGGTGGGGGTCCCTTTAAAAATATCCCCGCCTCTTCGACACAACCTCCCCTTGGATTAGTTGACAGTGTGAGATCTACTGCCAAGATAGACTTAATAGATTGAGTTTTAGTTTAACCTTCAAGATATATGTTTAAAAAGTTTTCTACGTATACAACATGCAGGTTGGATTTCCTGAAGCTCAACATCTACTTTGAAGATTTGAATTACGAGACAATATCTGAAGAACCTGACTACGAGGTAATAATTCTCTGATGATTTATGGCCAGTGTTAGTGTTGAAATAGAAGAAGACATTGAAGAAAAAAATCCAAGAAATTGCATTTTATGAGCATGGTCTATCTAGAGTAGGTAATAATAAATTGATTATAAAAAATAAGGCAAAGAATACACGTTATTTTAATATATTGTGAGGTCGGTGAGGTCGGGTAGGTGAAGCTCGTGGTTACTAAAGCCTCGAGTTAGATTCTGCGAATATGAGGCTCGAAAGCAGGGGGGAGGGGGGCAGCAACCCATCTTGGAGAGAAAACTCCAAAATCAAAAAATACCTTTGTTTTAGGCAGAATTAGGCAGAATACCTTACAAGGCACTCTATTATAATATATACACTTAACACTTTTTTAACGTTGTTTACACTTTAAATAAACCGGGAGTGATCTCCCCTAAACTTTCTCGAATATTCTTATATAAAATAACAGGGGATGGGAACTCGGGCTATAGACATGATTTTTAATCCATTTTAAATACTTAAAGTTTTAAAAATAGAATAAAATCTCGTAGACAAATTAATTGCACACCAAGTGAACGCGAATAAAAAAGCGCATAATAGTGCGCAATATTATTAGTACTTTTAAAATTTACATTAGTTTTTTGAGAAATCGGAAGTAGCGTAAATAAGTACTTCCAGTCAACGAAAAATTCTCAAAATTTGACAGAAGGTAGAGAATTAGATCTTTTACTTACATATCAAATTTCATTTATCTATCTGAAATAGTACTCAAGTTATAGGCTTTTGAAAAATTCAAAGTAGAAAAAGTACCACTTCCGGTTATCCGAAATCGCTCAAAAGTTGATACGGATCTACGATTTTGATAAAATACTTGTATATGAAATTTCATCAACCTAGCTGTAACGGTACTCAAGTTATCGTGTTTACACACGGACACACACACACACAGACACACACACAGACACACAGACATACGGACAAGATTGCAAAATTATGTTTTTCCGTATCAGTGAGATGTAAAACGTCGAGATTTGCAAAAATCTCGATTTTTTTTTTTTTGCACGATTACAAGACTTTCTCTATACTTCGTATATACGAGAAAGTAAAAAAATCATTAAAAAAATGCAATGACGTCATCGGAAAAGGGACAGCGGCGTATCCATCGAAGAAAAGGAAGTAATATAAAAATGATCAGGAAAAGATAAGAATAAAGATGTCGTCTAGACTGTTTCACCTACAACATAGAAGAGCCCATTTAGATTATAACTCCATCTGTTGGTAACTGGTTTTTTCATTCATAACTTAAACTACATCGATACTTGTCTTTAACATTATTGTTTCATAGTTTAAACAAACTGAAGTATCCAATAACGATTTTACAACACAGATTCCCCGTCTTTGTCATTGAAGGCGAACTGAGTTTTGAAGTCCAAGTTACGGTTAGTTACCCCATATCAAAATGCATTTAAAAATGGCATTTTAATAGTGTAATTAAAATCAGAGCAATATTTTAGTGTAATTGTGTTTTTAATTGTTTAAGAATTGATTTAATGAGATGGTTGGAATTGCATGTCATTAGCAACTTCAAACTTTGCAGATGAGTCTTTTTAAAGCCAAACTCATTTCATTTTGAAAATTTAATTAATTAAATAAGTTATTTTGTTTTGAAAACTAGAGCAGTTGAATATCCATAATAACAGAAATAGAACGACAACAAATGGAACCAACTTTGAAAGGAAAACATTGTTATATTTGGGCGATATCACCACACTAGAAATTTGTGGAAAATTGTTGATAAACTAGTTACAGGAGGTACCGCTCTTGAAATTCATGAATTCAAGAATTCAAGAATTCAAGAATTCAAGAATTCAAGAATTCAAGAATTCAAGATTTCAAGAATTCAAGAATTCAAGAATTCAAGAATTCATGAATTCAAGAATTCAAGAATTTAAGAATTCAAGAATTCAAGAATTCGAGAATTCAAGAATTCAAGATTTCAAGATTTCAAGAATTCAAGAATTCAAGCATTCAAGAATTCAAGAATTCAAGAATTCAAGAATTCAAGAATTCAAGAATTCAAGAATTCAAGAATTCAAGAATTCAAGAATTCAAGAATTCAAGAATTCAAGAATTCAAGAATTCAAGAATTCAAGAATTCAAGAATTCAAGAATTCAAGAATTCAAGAATTCAAGAATTCAAGAATTCAAGAATTCAAGAATTCAAGAATTCAAGAATTCAAGATTTCAAGATTTCAAGAATTCAAGAATTCAAGAATTCAATAATTCAAGAATTCAAGAATTTAAGAATTCAAGAATTCAAGAATTCAAGATTTCAAGAATTCAAGAATTCAAGAATTCAAGAATTCAAGAATTCAAGAATTCAAGAATTCAAGAATTCAAGATTTCAAGAATTCAAGAATTCAAGAATTCAAGAATTCAAGAATTTAAGAATTCAAGAATTCAAGAATTCAAGAATTCAAGAATTCAAGAATTTTAGAATTCAAGATTTCAAGAATTCAAGATTTCAAGAATTCAAGAATTCAAGAATTCAAGAATTCAAGAATTCAAGAATTCAAGAATTCAAGAATTCAAGATTTCAAGAATTCAAGAATTCAAGAATTCAAGAATTCATGAATTCAAGAATTCAAGAATTTAAGAATTCAAGAATTCAAGAATTCGAGAATTCAAGAATTCAAGATTTCAAGATTTCAAGAATTCAAGAATTCAAGCATTCAAGAATTCAAGAATTCAAGAATTCAAGAATTCAAGAATTCAAGAATTCAAGAATTCAAGAATTCAAGAATTCAAGAATTCAAGAATTCAAGAATTCAAGAATTCAAGAATTCAAGAATTCAAGAATTCAAGAATTCAAGAATTCAAGAATTCAAGAATTCAAGATTTCAAGATTTCAAGATTTCAAGAATTCAAGAATTCAAGAATTCAATAATTCAAGAATTCAAGAATTTAAGAATTCAAGAATTCAAGAATTCAAGATTTCAAGAATTCAAGAATTCAAGAATTCAAGAATTCAAGAATTCAAGAATTCAAGAATTCAAGAATTCAAGATTTCAAGAATTCAAGAATTCAAGAATTCAAGAATTCAAGAATTTAAGAATTCAAGAATTCAAGAATTCAAGAATTCAAGAATTCAAGAATTTTAGAATTCAAGATTTCAAGAATTCAAGATTTCAAGAATTCAAGAATTCAAGAATTCAAGAATTCAAGAATTCAAGAATTCAAGAATTCAAGATTTCAAGAATTCAAGAATTCAAGAATTCAAGAATTTAAGAATTCAAGAATTCAAGAATTCAAGAATTCAAGAATTCAAGAATTCAAGAATTCAAGAATTCAAGAATTCAAGAATTCAAGAATTCAAGAATTCAAGAATTCAAGAATTCAAGAATTCAAGAATTCAAGAATTCAAGAATTCAAGAATTCAAGAATTTAAGAATTCAAGAATTCAAGAATTCAAGAATTCAAGAATTCAAGAATTCAAGAATTCAAGAATTCAAGAATTCAAGAATTCAAGAATTCAAGAATTCAAGAATTCAAGAATTCAAGATTTCAAGATTTCAAGATTTCAAGAATTCAAGAATTCAAGAATTCAAGAATTTAAGAATTCAAGAATTCAAGAATTCAAGAATTCAAGAATTCAATAATTCAAGAATTCAAGAATTTAAGAATTCAAGAATTCAAGAATTCAAGATTTCAAGAATTCAAGAATTCAAGAATTCAAGAATTCAAGAATTCAAGAATTCAAGAATTCAAGATTTCAAGAATTCAAGAATTCAAGAATTCAAGAATTTAAGAATTCAAGAATTCAAGAATTCAAGAATTCAAGAATTTTAGAATTCAAGATTTCAAGAATTCAAGATTTCAAGAATTCAAGAATTCAAGAATTCAAGATTTCAAGAATTCAAGAATTCAAGAATTTAAGAATTCAAGAATTCAAGAATTCAAGAATTCAAGAATTCAAGAATTCAAGAATTCAAGAATTCAAGAATTCAAGAATTCAAGAATTCAAGAATTCAAGAATTTAAGAATTCAAGAATTCAAGAATTTAAGAATTCAAGAATTCAAGAATTTAAGAATTCAAGAATTCAAGATTTCAAGAATTCAAGAATTCAAGAATTCAACCTGTAAAGTGTCGGGAATACTGGCTTGAATGAAAAAACCACCATCAATACAAAATAGACAGTCGTCTATTTTCTTTTCAATTTGATCATCCAGAGTCAAGAATGGTTTCATTACAAGTCCACTACCAATTAGAAACTCCTCTTTGATATGATTTAAATGAAAGTATTTCACAAAGACAAATACATGTTTATTTAAATACCTTACAGCATTCAACAAACAATTATTATAAGACTTATTCTAAGCACCTTTATTCAGTCGAGACGTAATTTCCCTGACAGTTTAATTTACCATTTCAAACATACAGGGTTCAAAGAATAGTGTGAAGAATTAACTTGTACTTAAAACGTCGGTGACGCAACTGAAATTAGGACAAGAACTAAAGTTTGGTAAGATGTTGCTTAGAATATTGTTTTTCAGATACAGTCGGAGGGATGTGTCTAACTATGAGTGCATGTATTAGCAGATGGATGTTTTGATGGATGTGGGGATGTGTAGATATATGGATGTATGCATGTATGCATTTATGAATGTATCGATGTATCGATGTAATTATGTTGGATGTATGGATGTATTTATGTTGGATGTATGGATGTATGGATGTATTGATGTTGGGTGTATACATGTATGGATGTATAGATGTTGGATATATGGATGTATTTATGTTGGATGTATGGATGTATGGATGTTGGATGTATGGATGTATGCATGTATGGATTAATTGATGTTGGATATATGGATGTATTTATGTTGGATGTATGGATGTATTGATGTTGGATGTATGGATGTATGCATGTATGGATTAATTGATGGTGGATATATGGATGCATTTATGTTGGATGTATGGATGTATAGATGTTGGATGTATGGATGTATGCATGTATGGATTAATTGATGTTGGATATATGGATGCATTTATGTTGGATGTATGGATGTATTGATGTTGGATGAATGCATGTATGGATGTATTGATGTTGGATATATTGATGTATTTATGTTGGATGTATGGATGTATTGATGTTGGATGTATGGATGAATGCATGTATGGGTGTATTGATGTTAGATATATTGATGTATTTATGTTGGATGTATGGATGAATAGTTGTGGATTTTAGGAAGCAGATGTATATGAACGTCTGGAATCGTGGAGAAACGTAAGGATGGATATATGGATATACGGATATACGAATGTTTAGGATGGTTAAATAAATGTATGGATATGAAGTTGCATGAAAGTATTTAGGTAAATCTGGATGTATAGACAGACGAACTGGAATTCGTGTATGTTTTTCTTTGTGTCTTTAAATGTTTGTGTGTGTCTACTTGTGTGTGTTGAGAATTAATTAAACTATTGTTTCGATAGATCTAACTTAAACTCATATCCTTTCTAGGCTCATCTCTGCATAAAATGGCGGCAGTTGGACCATTGATACTTTTCAATTTCCTGTTCCTTTGTCTTCTACTTTGGATCAACCCTGTCACTGCATTTGTCACCCCGCTGTCGGGAATTTTGTTTGCTAACAACTTCCACAAGTGTCTTTGGTTTATAGGATTTGGTAAAGGTAAACATATGTATATGCTTGAAACCCTAGCCCGTACACCCCTCCCCCTCTCGCAGTACAACTTTAAAGACCAAACAGCCTGTACAGCCAGTGGCGGAGCCAGGAATTGGTCATGGGAGGGGTTTAAATATTTTTCCATTTGTATAAAATCATATATATATATATATATATATATATATATATATATATATATATATATATATATATATATATAGATATAGATATATATAGATATATATGTATATAGATATATACATATATATCTAATATATAAAGCTCAATTCTGTAACGCATATGTTTGTCGTTGGCATTTCTACGGATTTAAGTGTTAGATCAATTATCGTGCGCGTTTGTCTAAATTTATGAGTTAAAAAATTACTATTAAAAGTGTTGGGAAATCATTTTCATTTTTCAAATTGTAGTAATAATTGTCGGCATGTTCATTAAACACAAGTTTTAAAAAAAATATCATCTTTCACAAAAATTCTAATTATGTTTTTATTTAGTCCTATAGCGCTTACTTCCCTTTGATAAATTAGGCAAAACACAATTACTTCCCTTTATGAAATCATTGCATTAGTTGAAAAGCATTTACTTTTTAATTACTTTGTTTTGGTGTTGGGAAAAAAATAATTACATAATTAGCGGGGATTGATCAAGTGCAAATGTTGTAGGTATTTTACGGATAAGCTTGGAGTATTATAATTGTTCATTAAATTGAAACAGGCGCGTTCGTTTAAGTGAGTGCAAAAACTATGAATAAGTTGGGGTACTATAGTCGTTTATTAAGCTAAAACAGGCGATTCTGCCCCGGGCGTTTATGTTCGCGTTAGTGTTTTCTTTGTGTTTAGGTGGGTTTGCGTTAGTGGTTGCGTTTTGATTTGGTTCGTTTTTGTTCTTTCTTTTTTCGTTTTTGTTTGTGTTTTTTTTTTTTGTTTGGGTTTGTATTTGTGTTTTTGGTTGGTTTTGCGTTTGGATTTGGTTTGTTTTCGTTCTTTCTTTTTTCGTTTTTGTTTGTGTTTTTTTGTTTGGGTTTGTATTTGTGTTTTTGGTTGGTTTTGCGTTTGGATTTGGTTTGTTTTCGTTTGCTTTTTCGTTTTTTTTTTGTTTTTTTTTGTTGGTATTGGTGTTTGTGGTTGGGTTTGTTGTTAGGTTTTTGTTTTCGTTTGCTTTTTTGTTTGTTTTTTCTTTGTGTTTGTATTGGTGTTTGTGGTTGTGGTTGGGTTTGTTGCTAGGTTTTTGTTTTCGTTTGTATTTGTAATTGTGTTAGCGTTATGTTTGCGTTTTGTTGTTTTGGTTTTGGTTGGTCGTGGTTTGGGTGAGCAATGCCGGGTTTATGATGATTACTAAACACACAGGTAATGGTCTTTAACAGAAATGTTTTTCACAGAAGCCAGAGCAGGGCCTGGCCGGGACGGCTAGTATATACATATATATATATATATATATATATATATATCTATATATATAATTCTCTTCTTCGAGCCGTTAGAAAACAAGCTGCAAACGCTCTCCCTACCTCCCCACCCCTACATGGTTTTAGTGAGCTGTGTTCACTCTAAATGTTTACAAGCAGAGCCAACGATTTTAAACGAAGGGGGGGGGGGGGGGGGGGAGGGGGGGAGGGAAGGAAGGGGGGGTTATGGTCCTTAACGAGCTACTTATAGTGTTTTAAAGAAATATTTTCAGTGTCAGCGTTGGTACTGTCGAATTCACAAATTATGAATTATTGAAAATTAGAAACAACTAAATAGCGGCGTATGTTATGCCGCGGGCCGGCTCGTATAATATAATATATATATATATATATATATATATATATATATATATATATATATATATATATATATATATATATATATATAGAGGTGTGAGTGAATAGGAGGGGTTATAACCCCCCCCCCCCTAACCCCCCTTGCCTACGCCACACAAAGAACTAAAACGTTTCTTTTACAGATGGAGTCGTTCGCGGCACCTTCGCTTCGTTCCTGAGCTCAAGATCGGCCAAATACAAGATCGGCATCAAGCTCGTCGGCACTCTGCAGTCCATCGGCATGACCCCGTGCCCGTTCAGGTCCTTGCTGATCGGCGGCTTAGCCGGAAACGCCTTTCTCGTCGTGGTCAAAATTTGTATTGGCCTCCTCGCATCCCAGAACACGTTGGAAAATGATTGGTTTTTCTCAATCGTGGAGTGGTTGGCTTCTCCTAGTCGCGGTGTGGTGAGTAACAAAACAGTGGTGGAGACGGTCCGGACCGCTCTTCAAGTATACCACGAGCAGTGAACTTATGACTTCAAGAAGTCATAAGTCAAGTCAAATAAATTAATGATTTCATAAAGTCAAAGTCAAGTCTAATAAACTGATGATAATATTCTAGAAATCAAAGAAAAAGAGAAAAAAATCAAGTCACTTAAAACATCACGATTGGCTTTTTTTTTTAAAAAAAAAAGTAGCTGTAACGTAAAAACGTGTAATGTTTCAGGCAAAGGATGCCTTTCTCCATCATGTATGTTATTTACATCAAAGGTTATTTAAAATATAGATTCAGAATAAAACTATTTCTTATTTTTTACCTTGTGTGTAGGTTTCGCCTGATTGTATAGTAAAATGTATTTGTAACATTTGAAAGAATATTAAAGCAAATAAAAACATGTTTAAATATTTAAAAAAAACATTAGTATTTAAAAAGATTTATGAAGTTTTACAATTATATTTTTCATTTTTTATGGTTAAAGTATGTTTTTTTTAAAAACATTTTTGTAAGTACACAAATGCACTGGCCTCGTTCTATGATTGAAGTTTGTCTGAGATATTTCTTTATATGACTTGAAGGAAAGACAAATGACTTGACCGAAAAAATTGACTTGACGAGTCCGCACATGACTTTGGCATTGAAAGTTCCACATTTAACATCCCATAATAGCTGTTATACATAAACATCCCATAATAGCTGTTGTAATTCAAACATCCCATAATAGCTCTTGTAATTCAAACATCCCATAATAGCTGTTGTAATTCAAACGTCCCATAATAGCTGTTGTAATTCAAACATCCCATAATAGCTGTTGTAATTCAAACATCCCATAATAGCTGTTGTAATTCAAACATCCCATAATAGCTGTTGTAATTCAAACATCCCATAATAGCTGTTGTAATTCAAACATCCCATAATAGCTGGTGTAGTTGAAACATCCCATAATAGCTGGTGTAGTTGAAACATCCCATAATAGCAGTTATTTTAACCTAGAAAAAAATGGTCATATATTTATGACACAGACATATCAGCCAGAGGCGTAGGGAGGTCGGGGCGGGGGGGGGGGGGGGGGGGGGGGGGCGGCCGCACCGGGTGTCACCATTTAGGGGGTTGACAGCAAGGCAAAAAAATCGCCAAATTTTTAGACGAAAAATGCTTTTTTGCCTGTCTCATTAATAATTGTAAGTACAAATGTAGTAGTTATGTATATATATATATCTATCTATCTCTCTCTATATACATATATATATATAAAGGCATATATATATATATATATATATATATATATATATATATATATATATATATATATATATATATATATATATATATATTGTTTCTTGGGAGGGGATGACACCACTAAGTGCCGCACCGGGTGACACCCGACCTAACGATGCCACTGATATCAGTCTAATGGTGTTTTCCGATTGAAACAAGACGGTTTACACAAGTATTTCAAGCTGCTTTTTACATCCTCTAACGCGTACCAGGTACCCATCAAAGCTGAGTGAACTCAGAGACCTTTTACAGTTACGGATTTAGAATCGAACTAGAAACATTTTGGCTAGCATTCGACCACAATGTAACAATGTATGTGTTGAAAATATAAAAATAATTCAATAAAATTAACCCAAAATATAGTAATGAATCCTCTTTAGCCCTAGCGATATATTGGGCATATGAAGTAGAGTTCATATTTTTCTTAACCTCGGCATAGGCAGGGAAAGTGTAGCTATCACTTTGCCCAGCCGCTTCTAATTTCCCTAACATGAGTTAGGTACCCATAAGAGCTGAGTTGACTCAGCGACATTGACTTGAACCTAAATTCGAACTCGAGACTTTAGGGTAAGTAGCTTAGCTGTCTACCGCTTAGGCAGCAACTAACCCTAATCCACAACATCCACTGTTTAAACAAAATAATCACAAAATATATAAATGACGTCATCAAAAAATGTAAACACATCGTGTGAAAGGAAGTATCGTCACTTTTAAGTCTGTTTTCATCAAGAAAGGAGGATTTCATCTCTATTCCATTTCAAACACCCCAGCTGTGGTAAGTCTTTGTAGTCAAACAACCGAATTAATGTAGTAAAGGTGGTGTTAGTAAAACAACTGAATTGTTGTAAAGGTAGTGTTAGTCAAACAACTGAATTGTTGTTGTAAAGGTGGTGTTAGTCAAACAACTGATTTGTTGTTGTAAAGGCGGTGTTAGTCAAACAACTAAATTAATGTAAAGGTGGTGTTAGTCAAACAACTGATTTGTTGTTATAAAGGCGGTGTTAGTCAAACAACTAAATTGTTGTTGTAAAGATGGTGTAAGTCATATAACTGAATTGTTGTTGTAAAGATGGTGTTAGTCAAACAACTGAATTGTTATTGTAAAGATGGTGTTAGTCAAACAACTAAATTGTTGTAAAGATGGTGTTAGTCAAACAACTGAATTGTTGTTGTAAAGATGGTGTTAGTCAAACAACTGAATTGTTGTTGTAAAGGTGGTGTTAGTTAAACAACTGAATTGTTGTTGTAAAGGCGGTGTTAGTCAAACAACTAAATTGTTGTTGTAAAGATGGTGTAAGTCATATAACTGAATTGTTATTGTAAAGATGGTGTTAGTCAAACAACTAAAATGTTGTAAAGATGTTGTTAGTCAAACAACTGAACTGTTGTTGTAAAGGTCGGGTTAGTCGAAATAATCTTAACAATAGTTGAGTTTAGATCAGAGTTTAGTTATGTCAAGTTGATGGGTTAACTGGTGTGTGGGTAGATTGATGGGTGGGTGGGTGGGTGGATTGGTGGATGGATGGATGGATGGATGGATGGATGGATGGATGGATGGATGGATGGATGGATGGATGGATGGTTGGATGGATGGATGGATGGATGGATGGATGGATGGATGGATGGATGGATGGATGGATGGATGGACGGATGGACGGATGGACGGATGGACGGATGGGCGGATGGGCGGATGAACGGATGGACGGATGGACTGATGGACTGATGGATGAATGGATGGAATGGCGAATAGAAGGAATGAACGGGTGGACGGATGGACGGATGGATGGATAGACGCAAGTACTCATGGACGCATTGATGAGTGTATAAACGATTCCAATGTAGAAACTGATATAAGCCCGTTGAGCGTCTATTATATTGTTCAATGCATGTTGACGATTATATATCAAAATTTGTTTCCAACATCTAATCTAAACTCATGTTTCACAGATCCTCAGAGAATATGGAACTTTGGCAAATAAAAGTTTTCCTCTATATTTTTCTACTTATACTGGGCTGGTTAAATCCCTTAGTCGTGGTTACTGGAGTTGCAACACAATATTGGTTCACAAAAGATGGGCAAAGATTTCTAAATTATATCGGCTTCACTAAAGGTAAGTATTTATGTTAATCAAAGCGTTTCATATTAAAAACAAGACTGCTAATACTACACACTTCGTTTAAAACTAAGACTAGCATGAAAAACGCATTGATTCAGAAAGTTTTTTTTAACGATACTGCCTTATAGAACATGCTATAACATTACTACATTGTTAATGTTTGTGATAAACTGGAAATATCAGAAATCGCTTAAAAATCCTACAAGCGTTTTTGTGGTGGGGACCCTTTAGTTTATAAAAGAAACCAAGAGACCTGCGACACCCATACAATTAAGAACATATTGTTTTCGTTTGGTTTAGTCTACAAGTTGGCGACACGCAACCCCCCACCCCACACCACCACACCCCCACCACCACCGCCCAGAAATTTCATTGGGATTGGAAACCAGTGGTCTAAATACTCTATACATAACATTTCATCCATCGAACTAAAATGGCACTCAAATAGGTCTCGTTTTGACACTCAGACACATACATATATAAACACAGGCACATAAATATAAACACAGGCTCTAGTTATCGTGTTTACGCACATACACACACACATTCGATTTAGTCACAGACACATGCATGTAAAAACAGACACACAAGAAACACAAACACACACATACATTTAAACACAGACACACACATATAAAAACAGACACACAAGAAACAGAAACACAGACACATACATATAAAATGGACGGCCTGGCCTAGCGGTGGAGCGCTAGATTGCTAACCCGATAGTTTCGAGTTCGAATCCGGGTTCAAGTTAGTGGAACGTCTCTGAGTCCACCCAGCTCTGATGGGTACCTAACTCACGTTAGGGAAAATAAAGGCGGCTGGGCATAGTGCTGACCACATTATCCCTTCATATGCCGAGGTCAAGAAACATATGATCTCCACTTCATCTGCCCAATGGATCGTTAGGTTTAAAAAAAGGAATCTTTAACATCCATATAAAAACAGACCCAAACAAACACACACACACAGACCTACACACGTATTGTAAAAATGACGTATGCTTTAGCGTCTACAACTTCCCTCTAGACTCCCTAGGTAAATAACCCTTTTCAAGTCTGACGCGCGGCAGGTGAAGTAGAGTTCACCTGTTTCTGTCACCCCCGACAGATAAAAGGATAGTGTTGCCCAGCCGCCTTTACTTCACCTAGCTGGGTAGACTCAGGTACGCTTGATCGGACTTGAACACGGATTCGAACTCGAAACTTTCAAGTTAGCAGTCGTATGCTCTACAATTCAACCACGCCGTTCCTTTTCGACGTATATTAGAATCTGAAAACTACCATCCGACAATAGTACTTGTACACAATGATGCTTAGGCTAAAAAAAATTTTTTTTTTAAATTAAATTTTTTTAAATTTTTATTTACACGACGATCCTTAGGCAGAATTTTTTTTTAAATTTTTAATTCTTTGTAAAAATCAAAAAAAAAATTAAATTTTAATTTCAGAAGGAATATCCAGTGGTACTCTGGCATCGAGCCTGTACTCACTCTGTGCCAGGTACAACGTTGGTCTTGGCGTGCTGGCGACCCTACAGTCCATAGGTCAGAAAGGGAGAATCAAGCTGAAAGGCAGGCTCATTAGTGCGGCCGTTGCGTCATGTACTGCCTTGTTGGTGCAGTTTATGCTTGGTTTCATCGTCCGATATTGATTAACTGTATTTTTTTTTTTAAGTTTATAACTCATTATGATTTTTGAACAAACTTAACTGACGTGTATTTTTTTAACTGGTAGTGTTGTTATAAAAATATTTTTTTATTTAAATAATTAAATCGTCCCCAAAAAAAAAAATTTCATTAAGATAAAAACATAAAGCAACAGTTCTAGTGGACATAGCTGGGGTGTTTGTTTCATGCCATTCCATAATTTCAAGTATTCATCAATTCCATTTTTTTTTTGAGAAACATAACTTCAGATGTAAAAGTATGACATATCTGTTTATATTTTAAACATGATTCAAGAAATATATTTAAAAAAAGAACTGTATCTAGTCTTGCTTACAATTATTTTGTTATTACTATTAATATTGTTTTTAAATTGTTATAAAAATTGTTTGTAATTACACAGAAAGCACGGAAGAATAAACCTCGATGCATGTTTTGATATCATCATCATCATCATCATCATCACCATCATCATTATCATCATTATCATCATGTTCATCATTATCATTATCATCATCATCATCATCATCATCATCATCATCATCATCACCATCATCACCATCATCACCATCATCATCTATTCACCATAATCATCATTATCATCATCATCATTATCATCATCATCATCATCATCATCATCATCATCATCATTATCATCATCTTCATCATCATCATCATCATCATCATCATCATCATCATCATCATTATATTTTCCCGTTCGTACCCAAGACACATGGGGCAGATAAAGTAGAGTTCACCTGTTTTAACGACCACGGCATATAGTAAGATACTGTGGTCAGCACTTTGCTCAGCCGCCTTAGTTTCTCTTTAACGTGGGTCAGGTACCTCATTAGAGCTGAATGTCCTACACACTTGAGCCTGGGATCAGAACTCGAGACCTTCAGGTTAGCATGATTTGTAACAGAGGTAATCAAATAGGATATGAATGAAACAGTACATGAATGACTGTCTCATACATAATTTATTAGTTTACACATCAACTGAACAGTTTAACCGGAGATATTCTTTACCCAAGATAGAATATCTGAATGTAGGTTTTCTAGTGAGTCGTGCCACTGATTGTAATACTCACGGTCAGGTAAGTGTGTTCGTTTTTAACTGTATGATAGTGAAGGAAATATCCTCCAACACAATTACCAAAGCACACCCTACCTCCATGCTACCTCCCCCCCCCCCAACCACCCCACTCCCCACCCAACTCTATTAACTACCTCACTCCCCAACCACCTATACCAACCACCGTACGCCTTTCCACCTCTACCAATCACCCCACTCCCACCCACCTCTACCAACCACCACACCCCCACCTCTACCAACCAACCCACTCCAACCTCTACCAACCACCCCACTCCCACCTCTACCAACCACCACACCCCCACCTCTACCAACCACCCCACTCCCACCTCTACCAACCACCCCACTCCCACCTCTACCCACCTCAACCAACCACCCCCATCTCTACCACCTCTACCAACTCTACCAACCACCCCACACCCACCTCTACCAACCGCCGCACTCCCACCTCTACCAACCCCCCCACTCCCACCCACCTCTACCAACCACCCCAGTCCCTCACACCTCTAACACCTCTACCAACCACCCCACTCCTACCCACCTCTACCAACCACCCCACTCCCACCCACCTCTACCAACCACCCCAGTCCCTCACACCTCTAACACCTCTACCAACCACCCCACTCCTACCCACCTCAACCAACCACCCCCTCCCTACCACCCCTACCACCTCTACCAACCACCCCACTCCCACCTCTACCAACCACCCAAATCCCTACCACCTCTACCAAACCACCCCACTCCTACCCACCTCAACCAACCACCCCCTCCCTACCACCCCTACCACCTCTACCAAACACTCCACACCCACTTCTACCAACCACCCCACTCCTACCCACATCAACCAACCACCACCTCCCTACCACCCCTACCACCTCTACCAACCACCCCACTCCCACCTCTACCAACCACCCCACTCCTACCCACCTCTACCAACCACCCCACTCCTACCCACCTCTACCAACCACCCCACTCCTACCCACATCAACCAACCACCACCTCCCTACCACCCCTACCACCTCTACCAACCACCCCACTCCCACCTCTACCAACCACCCCCACTCCTACCCACCTCTACCAACCACCCCACTCCTACCCCACCTCTACCAACCACCCCACTCCTACCCACATCAACCAACCACCACCTCCCTACCACCCCTACCACCTCTACCAACCACCCCACTCCCACCTCTACCAACCACCCCACTCCTACCCACCTCTACCAACCACCCCACTCCTACCCACCTCTACCAACCACCCCACTCCTACCCACATCAACCAACCACCACCTCCCTACCACCCCTACCACCTCTACCAACCACCCCACTCCCACCTCTACCAACCACCCCAATCCCTCCCACCTCTACCAACCACCCCACTCCTACCCACCTCTACCAACCACCCCACTCCTACCCACATCAACCAACCACCACCTCCCTACCAACCCTACCACCTCTACCAACCACCCCACTCCCACCTCTACCAACCACCCCACTCCCACCTCTACCAACCACCCCACTCCTACCCACCTCTACCAACCACCCCACTCCTACCCACCTCTACCAACCACCCCACTCCTACCCACCTCTACCAACCACCCCACTCCTACCCACCTCTACCAACCACCCCACTCCCACCTCTACCAACCACCCCACTCCTACCCACCTCTACCAACCACCCCACTCCCACCTCTACCAACCACCCCACTCCTACCCACCTCTACCAACCACCCCAATCCCTCCCACGTCTACCAACCACCCCACTCCTACCCACCTCTACCAACCACCCCACTCCTACCCACATCAACCAACCACCCCACTCCCACCTCTACCAACCACCCCACTCCTACCCACCTCTACCAACCACCCCACTCCCACCTCTACCAACCACCCCACTCCTACCCACCTCTACCAACCACCCCACTCCCACCTCTACCAACCACCCCACTCCTACCCACCTCTACCAACCACCCCAATCCCTCCCACCTCTACCAACCACCCCACTCCTACCCACATCAACCAACCACCACCTCCCTACCACCCCTACCACCTCTACCAACCACCCCTACCACCTCTACCAACCACCCCACTCCTACCCACCTCTACCAACCACCCCACTCCTACCCACCTCTACCAACCACCCCACTCCTACCCACCTCTACCAACCACCCCACTCCTACCCACCTCTACCAACCACCCCACTCCTACCCACCTCTACCAACCACCCCACTCCCACCTCTACCAACCACCCCACTCCTACCCACCTCTACCAACCACCCCACTCCTACCCACCTCTACCAACCACCCCACTCCTACCCACCTCTACCAACCACCCCACTCCTACCCACATCAACCAACCACCACCTCCCTACCACCCCTACCACCTCTACCAACCACCCCACTCCCACCTCTACCAACCACCCCACTCCCACCTCTACCAACCACCCCACTCCTACCCACCTCTACCAACCACCCCACTCCTACCCACCTCTACCAACCACCCCACTCCTACCCACCTCTACCAACCACCCCACTCCTACCCACCTCTACCAACCACCCCACTCCTACCCACCTCTACCAACCACCCCAATCCCTCCCACGTCTACCAACCACCCCACTCCTACCCACCTCTACCAACCACCCCACTCCTACCCACCTCTACCAACCACCCCACTCCTACCCACCTCTACCAACCACCCCAGTCCCTCACACCTCTACCAACCACCCCACTCCCACCTCTACCAACCACCCCAATCCTACCCACCTCTACCAACCACCCCACTCCCACCTCTACCAACCACCCCAATCCCTCCCACCTCTACCAACCACCCCACTCCTACCCACCTCTACCAACCACCCCAATCCCTCCCACCTCTACCAACCACCCCACTCCCACCTCTACCAACCACCCCACTCCTACCCACCTCTACCAACCACCCCACTCCCACCTCTACCAACCACCCCACTCCCACCTCTACCAACCACCCCACTCCTACCCACCTCTACCAACCACCCCACTCCCACCTCTACCAACCACCCCACTCCTACCCACCTCTACCAACCACCCCACTCCCACCTCTACCAACCACCCCAATCCCTCCCACGTCTACCAACCACCCCACTCCTACCCACCTCTACCAACCACCCCACTCCCACCTCTACCAACCACCCCACTCCTACCCACCTCTACCAACCACCCCACTCCTACCCACCTCTACCAACCACCCCACTCCTACCCACCTCTACCAACCACCCCACTCCCACCTCTACCAACCACCCCACTCCTACCCACCTCTACCAACCACCCCACTCCTACCCACCTCTACCAACCACCCCACTCCTACCCACCTCTACCAACCACCCCACTCCCACCTCTACCAACCACCCCAATCCCTCCCACGTCTACCAACCACCCCACTCCCACCTCTACCAACCACCCCACTCCTACCCACCTCTACCAACCACCCCACTCCCACCTCTACCAACCACCCCACTCCTACCCACCTCTACCAACCACCCCAATCCCTCCCACCTCTACCAACCACCCCACTCCCACCTCTACCAACCACCCCACTCCTACCCACCTCTACCAACCACCCCACTCCTACCCACCTCTACCAACCACCCCAATCCCTCCCACCTCTACCAACCACCCCACTCCCACCTCTACCAACCACCCCACTCCTACCCACCTCTACCAACCACCCCACTCCTACCCACCTCTACCAACCACCCCACTCCTACCCACCTCTACCAACCACCCCACTCCCACCTCTACCAACCACCCCACTCCTACCCACCTCTACCAACCACCCCACTCCCACCTCTACCAACCACCCCACTCCTACCCACCTCTACCAACCACCCCACTCCTACCCACCTCTACCAACCACCCCACTCCTACCCACCTCTACCAACCACCCCACTCCTACCCACCTCTACCAACCACCCCACTCCTACCCACCTCTACCAACCACCCCACTCCTACCCACCTCTACCAACCACCCCAATCCCTCCCACGTCTACCAACCACCCCACTCCTACCCACCTCTACCAACCACCCCACTCCTACCCACCTCTACCAACCACCCCACTCCTACCCACCTCTACCAACCACCCCACTCCCACCTCTACCAACCACCCCACTCCTACCCACCTCTACCAACCACCCCACTCCTACCCACCTCTACCAACCACCCCACTCCTACCCACCTCTACCAACCACCCCACTCCTACCCACCTCTACCAACCACCCCACTTCTTCCCACCTCTACCAACCACCCCACTCCTACCCACCTCTACCAACCACCCCACTCCTACCCACCTCTACCAACCACCCCACTCCTACCCACCTCTACCAACCACCCCACTCCTACCCACGTCTACCAACCACCCCACTCCTACCCACCTCTACCAACCACCCCACTCCTACCCACCTCTACCAACCACCCCAATCCCTCCCACGTCTACCAACCACCCCACTCCTACCCACCTCTACCAACCACCCCAATCCCTCCCACCTCTACCAACCACCCCACTCCTACCCACCTCTACCAACCACCCCACTCCTACCCACCTCTACCAACCACCCCAATCCCTCCCACGTCTACCAACCACCCCACTCCCACCTCTACCAACCACCCCACTCCTACCCACCTCTACCAACCACCCCAATCCCTCCCACGTCTACCAACCACCCCACTCCTACCCACCTCTACCAACCACCCCACTCCTACCCACCTCTACCAACCACCCCAATCCCTCCCACCTCTACCAACCACCCCACTCCCACCTCTACCAACCACCCCACTCCTACCCACCTCTACCAACCACCCCCACTCCTACCCACCTCTACCAACCACCCCACTCCTACCCACCTCTACCAACCACCCCAATCCCTCCCACCTCTACCAACCACCCCACTCCCACCTCTACCAACCACCCCACTCCTACCCACCTCTACCAACCACCCCACTCCTACCCACATCAACCAACCACCACCTCCCTACCACCCCTACCACCTCTACCAACCACCCCACTCCCACCTCTACCAACCACCCCACTCCTACCCACCTCTACCAACCACCCCACTCCTACCCACATCAACCAACCACCACCTCCCTACCACCCCTACCACCTCTACCAACCACCCCACTCCTACCCACCTCTACCAACCACCCCACTCCCACCTCTACCAACCACCCCACTCCTACCCACCTCTACCAACCACCCCACTCCTACCCACCTCTACCAACCACCCCACTCCTACCCACCTCTACCAACCACCCCACTCCTACCCACATCAACCAACCACCACCTCCCTACCACCCCTACCACCTCTACCAACCACCCCACTCCCACCTCTACCAACCACCCCACTCCCACCTCTACCAACCCCCCCACTCCTACCCACCTCTACCAACCACCCCACTCCCACCTCTACCAACCACCCCACTCCTACCCACCTCTACCAACCACCCCACTCCCACCTCTACCAACCACCCCACTCCTACCCACCTCTACCAACCACCCCAATCCCTCCCACGTCTACCAACCACCCCACTCCCACCTCTACCAACCACCTCACTCCTACCCACCTCTACCAACCACCCCACTCCTACCCACATCAACCAACCACCACCTCCCTACCACCCCTACCACCTCTACCAACCACCCCACTCCCACCTCTACCAACCACCCCAATCCCTCCCACCTCTACCAACCACCTCACTCCTACCCACCTCTACCAACCACCCCACTCCTACCCACATCAACCAACCACCACCTCCCTACCACCCCTACCACCTCTACCAACCACCCCACTCCCACCTCTAACAACCACCCCACTCCCACCTCTACCAACCACCCCACTCCTACCCACCTCTACCAACCACCCCACTCCTACCCACCTCTACCAACCACCCCACTCCTACCCACCTCTACCAACCACCCCACTCCTACCCACCTCTACCAACCACCCCACTCCCACCTCTACCAACCATCCACTCCCACCTCCACCAACCACCCCACTCCATTCTACCCTTGTCCTAACACTCCACTCATTAATTTCTTCAACAATGGCTACCAACCATTCATTACGACTGTCACAGACTGTATAATTATGTATCTTTATTATATTGTGTTTTGCATGAATGAAGAGTACCTGGCTAGCGGAAGGACTGTCTGAGCGATCGTCATGTGTTTTTCCGTGTTTTGGGTGAGATCGCTCATTGACGTAAGGGGAGAGAAAGTTGTGAATAAAAGAGAGAGCGAAAGGTGAACGGGAGTTGTGTGCTAGGACTTGGGACTTGAACTGTGGCAGTGAATGTAAGATGTCTCCATGACTTGGAGTCGTGACTGTGACTGTACTTGTTGAGTATCTTCTAATATGGATTTACCATGAATAACCATGGATTTATCATTCTCACTGTATATAGTGTAAATAAAGTCATCATTTGAAGTTGCCACTATTGCTTGTATTTCTGTGTGAAAACTAACCCACAACAACAAAGAATTCATGTTGTTACAACGACTAATAAATCTTCTACATTTAATAACATAAAATCAAAATCATTACATACACAAAGATTTTCATTAATACGACTTACTTCTTTATTTAGTTACGGTATTAAAAGTAATTATTATTTCTAGAAATCCAACTACTAAAAATAAAAAATAAAAAATTGCAATGACGTAATAGGAATAAGAGCACAAAATGCATATTGGTAAAAAAAACGGAAGTACGTCATTTATACTACCGTGGTGAATATAGGCTTTCGAGTCCATCTCACTGGAGAAATCTTGATTTTACAAATCTTGATAGAGGTAAATGCCATTTTATTTTACATTTTTATAACTGTTTCTTTTTTGTATCGAAATACTTTTAATTCAATAACATTAAACAATGGTAGGGTGTTTTAAATACAAACTATTTTATAGTGCTTTTAAAAATACATATTTTAATTATTAAAATAAGTTGAACGCGGTCTTGACTGTTGTAGACTAGATATAGATCTAGATCTAGATCTAGATAGATGTAGATCTAGATGTTGATCTAGATGTTGATCGAGATGTTGATCTAGATGTTGATCTAGATGTTTATCTAGATGTTGATCTAGATGTTGATCTAGATGTTGATCTAGATGTTGATCTAGATGTTGATCTAGATGTTGATCTAGATGTTGATCTAGATGTTGATCTAGATGTTGATCTAGATGTTTATCTAGATGTTGATCTAGATGTTGATCTAGATGTTGATCTAGATGTAGATCTAGATGTTGATCTAGATGTTGATCTAGATGTTGATCTAGATGTTGATCTAGATGTTGATCTAGAATCTAGATGTTGATCTAGATGTTGATCTAGATGTTGATCTAGATGTTGATCTAGATGTTGATCTAGATGTTGATCTAGATGTTGATCTAGATGTTGATCTAGATGTTGATCTAGGTTTAAAAACGAATGCTCCATCGCATGGTCATTTGGTAGGTATTGATGGTTGTGTAGCTGGATGAGTGGATGGTGGATAATGGGTGGATATATTGATGAAGGATGTGGAGTGGATGGATAAAATAGCCAACGAGGATGAAGGGTAGTTAGTAGTTGGATGTGTATGTGGATTAGTGGGTGGGTGGATGGATTTGTGGATGAGTGAATAGGTGATTTGGTGGGTGGATGAGTGAATGTGTGTGTGGATTGGTGTGTGTGTGTGTGGATTGGTTGGTGGATGAGTGGATGTGTGTGTGTAGATTGGTGATGAGTGGGTGGGTGGATTGTTGTGTGAGTGGATGTGTGGATGGGTGTGTGTGTAGATTGGGTTTGTGTGGGTTTGTGTGTGGATGGGTGTGTGTGGATTGGTGTGTGTGTGCATTTGATTTGTGGGTGAGTGGGTGAGTGGATGGGTGCGTGTGTGGATTGTGTTTGTGTGGGTTTGTGTTTGTGTGTGGATGGGTGTGTGTGGATTGGTGTGGGTGTGGATTGGATTAGTGGGTGAGTGGATGGGTTGGTATGTGTTAGTATGGGTGGCTGTTGATGTATAGGTGAGTGGATGAGTGTGTGTGTGGATTAGGGGATAAGCGTTTGGGGGAATGAATAAGTGGATTGGCCGGTGGACTGTATCGATACTTCGACGTCTGACAGACGAGTACTTGCACGAGCGAATCGGTTATGTGTACGGATACGTTTTTATCTAACTCTCTAATAGTCTCAAACGTTCTTCTTCAGCACGTTCGACCCTTTTCCCGAATCCGACAAGTCTCTGCCCTGGCCAGATAAAAAAATGCATTTGTGGTTCCGTGTGTTGCTGTGTAGCGTGAGCCTGGCCTGCGCCTCCCTGACCAACTCCAACCTGCTCTCGTGTGTCATCTTCGGAGGTCTGGTCTTCTACATCTCCACGCCCACTCTCCTGACATTTTTTGGCTTCACTAAAGGTGAGACTTTATTTTTAAACTAAGTCATTTTTTTTTTCAAACTAAGCCAAAAAAAAAATAAGTAATTTTATTTTAAACTTAGTCAATTTTTTTTTATTTCTAACTGAGCCATATATTTATTTTTAAGCTAAGTCATTTTTAAATTTAGAAAAAAAAACTAAGAATTTTTTTTTATACTGTCATTTTATTTTTTTAAAAAGGACTTGTTTAAACTAGGATTTATTAATTTTTTTAAACTGGGATAATTTTTTTTTAAAATAGGGAACGTTTTGAACTAAGACGTTTTGTACACATTGAACATTTTTTTGAAAAGTAAAACAGTTTTTTAAACATTTTTTTTACTTAAGTCATTTCTTTAATGCTCAGACACTTTTTGAGCTAAGCCATTTTCAAAACACTTAAAAAATTACCGGAGAGCGACACTGAATAGAGTATAAATTTTCTAAATTAATGTTTTTTTTTATCGCCCCCCCCCCCCCCCCCCGAACGAAATGAAATTTATATAATTTATATAGAAAATATATACTTTTAACAGTGTCCGCCCCCCCCCCCCCCCCCACCGGAGAAAAAAGTCTGGAAAAAACACTGCTTCTGGAAATAGTGTTGCATAGTGCTGATATGTTTTAAATAATCAGAGCAACGTCTTGAATTTAAATATCGCCTTTACAGAAGTCAAATACAGAACGTGTATTTTTATACCGTCAGTGTAAATCACTGAATAGACTATATTGGTAATACGGCAAATGTAAAACAAAATTTAAAATGTCGGGAAAGCGGAATGCTATTATTTATTTATTTTTTTGGGGCAAAATCCGTTTCACTTATTTTACAGGTGAATGAAAGTTAGAAACTCACTTTTGGTGTGATTTAGTTTTAGGATTCTTACGTTTGTCCTCCATAAAGTCGATAGGCCATATATATATATATATATATATATATATATATATATATATATATATATATATATATATATATATATATATATATTTATTTATTTATTTATTTATATATATTTATATATATGTGTGTGTGTATGTGTGTGTGTGTCTGTGTGTGTGTGTATTTGTGTGTGCGTGTGTTTGTGTGTGTGTGTGTGTGTGTGTTTGTGTGTGTGTTTGTGTGTGTGTCTGTGTGTGTGCGTGTGTGTCTGTGTGTGTGTCTGTGTGTGTGTGTGTGTATATATATATAAACACACAATTTTCGCATATTCCTCCACACAAATAGCAGACTAGACCCACCTGTCAGAAAACACAGGCTAACAGGTGAAAACGTCTATTTTCAGCTGGAATCCCACGTGGCACCGTCGCGGCCTACCTGAGCTCCAAGGCCTCCAGGTACAAAATCGGCGTCGGCTTCGTGGCGACCCTCCAGTCTGTGGGTGCCTCCGGGATCGGGTTCAAAACCCTGGTGGTCGGCGGCCTGTTTGGGGCCCTCATGTATCACATGATAGAGTACCTGTATTGATCACGTGACCGCCAGCCGACCGTGATGATTGGTCGCTTGGTAACCTACAGCAGTTGACATCTATACATCACGACACACAGATATATTTGTTTAGCTAAATATTATTACATAACCTATATGCATACAAGTATATATATATATATATATATATATATATATATATATATATATATATATATATATAACATACAACATATAACATATATATACAATATACATAATTATGTGTATCAGTCAAAGTGATCCTAGTTTATGTGAGGCGACTTTGTCTACCAATGATATCATCCTTTAGCATAAGCCCATCCACTACCCACAGCTTAAACTTACACTATTTCCAGTCTCGCATCACAATTTGAGTTTGATACACACATTTTAAGACCATCCAGTTTTTTAGTTTACTTTATTGACTTGTACAAAAATAGCGAAACAAAACTTTGTCGAGGCTAACACTGACTACACAGAAGCAACGGTAGACGATTGGTCAGGTTAAGGCCTGGTTAAGTGAAGAGTTGAAATATTTCATTAGTGGGAAACGAAACATTGTTGCTTCATACCAAAGTGTAACCTTACAATTTGCATATCTCATATTTTCCAACATGTTTTTCATACAAATATTTGTTTAATTTATTTTCTTTGTGTATTTGAATTAATGAAATAATTAATTGAACGACCTCTAATGGGTTGGTATTTATTTTTTTTAAATATTATTTTGAAACATTTTGAATAATGTTATAGATATATTGAGGTTTAAAATACTGTGTGAATCTTTATAATTTAAACATTTTTCTTAAAGTTTTGTAAAAATAAACATTTAATTACTTCTAATATGTAATTCTTAAATTTAACAATTATTTTTCATATTGTATTGATTTAATGTTGTGTTTTTCAAAAGAAGTTTTATTATAACTGTTTATTTTAAAATTGATTTAATTTTGTACTTTTTAAAAGAAAGTTTAATTATAATTGTTCATTTTGTATTCTTATAATGTTATATTTTCAAAAAAAAGTTTAGTTATAATGGTTCATTTTGTATTCTTATAATGTTATATTTTCAAAAGAAAGTTTAATAATAATGGTTCATTTTGTATTGTTTTAATGTTATATTTCTTGTAATATTTTTCAAAAGAAAGTTTAATTAGAAATCAACTAGCACTTGTTAACAAATACCATGGCCAGTTAACAAATGACGTCGCCATTTAACAAAAGATTTGCTAACCTAACAACTTGTTATCAGTCATGTACCAGCAGTCGGAGTGGTCTAGCGGTAGAGAGCTGGACTGCTAACCCGTAAGTCTCGAGTTGGTATCCGGGTTCAAGTAAGTAGACCGTCCCTGAGTCCACCCAACTCTGATGGGTACCTAACTCACGTTAGGGAAAGTAAAGGCGGCTGGGCATAGTGCTGACCACACTATCTTTTCATATGCCGAGGTCACAGAAACAAGTGAACTCTACTTCACTTGCCCCATAGACCGTCAGGTTTGAAAGGGAAACTTACCAGCAGTTTACAAATGACGTTATTCTCATCCTTTGGATCTAACATTTGAACAGACAGCTTTAACCATGAGCAGATGGGGGGTCATCCATAAAATGACGTCACACCTCATCCTCAAAATGTCAGTGATATTTCAAAACACCGATAACTTTCTAAACTATTGACTAGACTTGGTCGAGATAGAGTATTTTTTTTATCACTTTCTGTTACAATTACCCCTTTACAATACTATCCAGCACCTTTAGTTAGAAGATCGATTGGCAACTATAACACAGTATTTCGAATATCCTATAGAGATTATCTACTCATATATATATATATATATATATATATATATATATATATATATATATATATATATATATATATATATATATATATATGTATGTATATATACACTTGGAGTAATCTTAATTTATCAATTATATTCTAAACTACATCACAGGAAATTAAAATTTGTAACTGTACGTGCCTATGTAGCAAGGGACTTAAGCCACTCCAATTTTCTCCACGTCAAAGAAATGTTTCGCTTGGTACTTAATTTCCGCCCAGGTGGCAGCCATTGTTCTAGCAGACGGCGGCTTGTTCACCACCCATCTGGCGGAGCAGACGATATTATCTGCTGTTTATCAACAGATTTTTTTCAGGAAATTAATCGTCATACTCTGCCAAGTTTTCCCAGTCCTCACCCCCCCCCCCCCCACCCCCCCCCCCCCCCCCCCCCCACCCTCCACTGCTGGGTTTAGAGATTTCTTGTTCGATAATAAGTGTATGTTGATTGTGTGGAGTATGTAGATGATGACGTCATCAGATAGTAGGGCATAATAATGGTACGTCAATGGGAGAATTACCGTTAACCATATCATAACTATAAGTAATTAGATCTATAATTAATTGTTATTTTGAAATTAATTAAAACTTCCACACCCATTGCAGTTAAATAGTTGCGAAATTCGTTTTTGCTATGCGAGTCTATTAGCTTTAATTGCCCGATAAATTTGGTATTTTAATTTGCGATATTTCGTTATGTATTTCAAATTAATTAAACATCTCAATACGTAACATATTACGTAACATTCCATTTTTAATCTGATTTTGACCTGTGTCTATTTTGAAACTAATCGGTTCGGTATTAGTGGTCAAATGTTTGTTTGCAAGTTTTGACATACAAATCATGTTAAATAAAAGCTGTTTAGAATTTAAATTCTGCATTGCAGATATTGAGATGGTTAATGAGTGTAATCTCACCTTAATCCCAGCAAATATATATATACATATATATATATATATATATATATATATATATATATATATATATATATATATATATATATATATGTATATATATATATGTATATATATATGTATATATATATATATATATATATATATTTATTTATTTATTTATTTATTTGTGTGTGTGTGTATGTGTATGTTTGCGTGTGTTAAGTACACATCCAAGGTTAAACAACACTGATAAAAGACCTAAGACCTATCTGACACCCAACACGTCAGCAGAAATTAAACACCAGTAACCCGAGACACAACGAGACATGACCTGACGTCTCGTTAACCAACTGTAGACAGGTATCAGACTGACACGACAGTCCGTCTGTCAAACATCCTGTCTACCATCTGTCAGAACAGTCTCACCTCCATCTGTCAGACGGTCTGACCTTAACGTATCAGTTGACTTAATCCTTAAAAGTGTCAAAAATTCCCCACCTTACATCTTTGGGGCTTACGTGACAAAAAATAAATAAACAACCCAAGGACACAAGAAGCCGACAACAAAGTAAAATTAAACTTGTAGAACACTAATAGCAATAGGCTTGAAATACTGAATTCAAATGGTTCCAAATATTTTTTTGCCAGAAAGCATATGTTTCAACCAAAATTGAAATATTATATAGCATTTGTGTAATATGTGCAAAACGACTTCCGGTTTATTAAGGATAGGAACAATCAAACAAAAAAATATTAGTAATATAATAGTAATTTAGCAAACACTTTTATTTTTAATTTAGGTTAGTAGAGTCAGGGTGTTGTGTTGTTCATACAAGAACCAATTATAAGACAGAAATTGTTTTCTCTCGAGAGGAGTTACAGTCCTCAACCATCAAGCCTCATCTGCCCGGGGATTCGAACTCGGGACTTTTATCATGTATACATTACGAGGCATTTATTATCTCAATGTTACCTATATATTACTTAAAACTTTACTTGGGAAAAAATGTTCTTTACGAAAACGTTACTTGTATAACACCTTACTAGAATCATTTACTGGTTCAAAACTTATTAAACTCATTGTTTTGTATAGTCGTCTTTATTTTCTTAAGTCCCTGCTAGGAAATCGCAAAAACATTATAATTTATAAAGTTCTTAATAATAACATGATTAAGTTAAGAATGATGATGTGAAATGTTTTGGTGTGTAGTAAACATGTGAAGGGGGGATGAATGGAGGTGAATGTTGTTTATACTTTGTACCCTGTTCCGGTTCAATCCTCGTGTTGTGAGTTTGTCTCAGTCACGTGATTATATTCCGGTGTGTACCAGTATTGTTTACGTGAATATAGAGAGTGTGTGAGAACGTGTGTAATGATTTCAGTTCAGTCCAGTTCATGTACCAGATAGTGAAGGTTAGTTCTGTGTACTTTTATAAAGCTACTATATCGTAGTTTTGTGTAATAGTTTCAAACTAGTAGTTTGTGTTCATATTTAGAATAGACTGTGTATTTGTGTAGAAAGGTACAAAACTTTTATTTTAGTATTGCAACGATCCTATGTTTTGTTTATTCTTTTGTTGAGTAACCTATTTGTGGTTGTTCGTCTTATCATGTTGTGCGACACACTGAAATACCCGTAACGGCGAGTCAGTGTGTTCACAACAGGGATGTTAGTGCATAAAACTATGGTGATATGAATAAGGGACGGAGAGGCCTAGCAGTAGAGAGCTGGTCTGTTAACCCGTAAGTCGAATCCGGGTTTAAGTCAGTAGACCGTCCCTGAGGCCACCCCGCTCTGATGAGTACATTACTCACGTTAGGGTAAGTTAAGGCGGCTGGGCATAGTGCTGACCACACCAGTGTTTCTTCCAGACTTTTTTCTCCGGGGGTGCACTTGAAATTTTCGGGAGGGCGGACAACAATTTTCGGGGGGGGGGGGGGCGGACACTTTCAAAAGTATATATTTTCTATATAAATTCCATTTCCTTCTTGCGGGCGGTAGACTTTCTTGGGGGGGGGAGGGGGGCACCGCCCCCCCCCCCCCCCCGAAGAGATCAATGGAAGAAACTCTGGACCACACTATCTCTTCATATGCAGAGATCACAGAGGCAAATGAACTCTACTTCACTTGCCCCGTAAACCGTTTTGAAAGGGAATTTTACTATTTTTACTTATGGTGATATGAATAACAAAGTGGTTTATAATTATTATTGGCGATTCTAATGTTGTTAATTAAGGATAACGATTACAATGAAAATTGAGTTTACAAAGATCAGTTCTTGTTGATAAAATATCCGTATCTTCTTCTTCGTTCCAAATTTTAGTGTTATAAGGGATCCCCTCCAACACAATTACGTATACGTGTCAACTGGTTATGCACCATTGAGGCCATCGACTCCGTTTTCAGCCTGCTTTTTTTTTCTTTGATTTGCTTCCATAGCCTTTGTCCAACCAAGTACAGCAGTTGTTTTATTTTGGAGTTGTCTCTCCTAGAAGAGTGGCTGTCCCCAGCCTACGAGCCTCATCTACCCGAGGGTTCGAACTTTTCGGTTTAGCAACCATGAGTTTACCGACTCGACCACGGCGACCTCTATATCCGTATAAATTTATTAAGCACCGTCGGCTTGAATACATTTTGTTATGCGTGTCAGGACATATAAAAAGCATAATACATCTTTACAATGGACAACCGTCATGCAATACATACAATACATACATACAGGGGTAATGAGCCAACAAGATGAACAAGGGGATAAAAGTTCCTACCAGGGCCGGCAACTCCAACTCATACAAAACAAAAGCAATACAAGTTAATTTCACATGCGGCTAATCCGACTCGTGGACAGGTCTCCGAGTAGGAAGCCTCAATCTTCCATACAGTCCATAAATTGATCTCTGAGTAGAAAATCTTATCAATCCATACGGTTCCATGACAAATGATCTCAGACAAAATATCTCAGACAAAATATCTCACGGACAAATGATCTCAGGACAAATGATCTCAGGACAAATGATCTCAAGGACAAATGATCTCACGGACAAAAGATACCAGGACAAAATATATCAGGACAAAT